TCTGACTGTAGGAGAAACTAAGGACCATGTATGGTCGCCACTAAGTAGTATTTAGACTGTCTGACTGTAGGAGAAACTAAGGACCATGTATGGTCGCCACTAAGTAGTATTTAGACTTTCTGACTGTAGGAGAAACTAAGACAAAAAATACAGCATTATTCAGGACTACCTGTATGATTCCATTAAAATGGTTATTTATTTCCCATTTCACTTATTCAGTTTGAATTTCCAAGATGGTTTTGTAAACAGATACAGATGAGTTGCATATGAACATCACTAGTCTCCAACACAACGGAAAAGTAAATTAATATGTAATAAAATACGATCCTCATAAAAAGTGAAAATAAATTTTATTGATGTATTGTTTCAAAACAACGGTGTCAAATTGTTGTGTTCTTAATGAAATAAGTTTTAAAAATAAAAAATAATGATCAACAAATGTATATAATATTTACAATACATTGTTTCTCGTTCGGTTGGTGCTAGTTGTCCTACCCTTTGGGTCGACACTAACATGGGAGACAGGTCAGTAATGGAAGAATACAGGAACATATACTCAACAAAGGTCAGTGAACCACATCAGTTGTAGTTAAATTACACAATTTCCTGTAGTACTCTTAAAATAAAATTCCATATATAACATAAAGAATATAACATACAAAAACGAAACAAGAGGTCCCGAGGGCCTGTAAGACTCGCCTGGATCATCATCGTTATGTGTACAATAGGCATTAACGTTAGATGTCACACATCGTTATGTGTACAATAAGCATTAACGTTAGATGTCGCACATCGTTATGTGTACAATAAGCATTAACGTTAGATGTCGCATATCGTTATGTGTACAATAAGCATTAATGTTAGATGTCGCACATCGTTATGTGTACAATAAGCATTAACGTTAGATGTCGCATATCGTTATGTGTACAATAAGCATTAATGTTAGATGTCGCATATCGTTATGTGTACACTAAGCATTAATGTTAGATGTCGCACATCGTTATGTGTACGATAAGCATTAACGTTAGATGTCGCACATCGCTATGTGTTCAATAAGCATTAACGTTAGATGTCGCATATCGTTATGTGTACAATAGGCATTAATGTTAGATGTCGCACATCGTTATGTGTACAATAATCAGTAACGTTAGACGTCGCACATCGTTATGTGTACAATAAGCATTAATGTTAGATGTCGCACATCGTTATGTGTACGATAAGCATTAACGTTAGATGTCGCACATTGTTGTGTGTACAATAAGCAGTTACGTTAGATGTCGCACATCGTTATGTGAACAATAAGCATTTACGTTAGATGTCACACATCGTTGTGTGTACAATAAGCATTTACGTTAGATGTCGCACCTCGTTATGTGTACAATAAGCATTTACGTTAGATGTCGCCCATCGTTATGTGTACAATAAGCATTAACGTTAGAGGTCGCACATCGTTATGTGTACAATAAGCATTAACGTTAGAGGTCGCACATCGTTATGTGTACAATAAGCACTTACGTTAGATGTCGCACATCGTTATGTGAACAATAAGCATTTACGTTAGATGTCACACATCGTTATGTGTACAATAAGCATTAACGTTAGATGTCGCACAGTTTCCCTACATCCTCTTTGGTTAGATCATAATCATGTGGAGTTCTGTTATTTGCGATATTGACTCGTTGTTACTATTTTTTTAAGCAGCAGGTCAATATTCCAAGTATGACATCAGTTCAATTGTAACGTCAGTGTCACAACGTCCCTACCAAATGCAGTACCTTTACAATTTTCATACAATTTATCTTGTTAAGTGATTAACACATTATTTAGCATCTAATATAACAACTAAAAACACTTATTTTGATCTAATATAACAACTAAAAACACTTATTTTGATGAATATGTGGTTATATGGACCTGAGAAATGAATTATGACCTCATCTTCCTCCCTGTTAATATAATTTTTTCAGGTCCATCTAACTACATATTCACCTCAATTGAAGTCCATAATTGATTATTGTTTACAGAAAAGATCAGTTTAACTACTGTGAAAATAAACGATTACGTTACCTGTATGTTGGTCAAGCTCGTCTCTCTCTCTACCAACACAATGTCTCATATACTCTCCGCAGAAATTTCATGTGCCTTTTAAAGTAACCCAAATAGCTTATTACAAAACAAGATATTGTTAAGCCTTTTGGAACTCAAGATTTAACCTGTAATAGCTTATTTTGAATTGACCTTTGAGCCAAATCAGCTCTCAAAGTCCACCTTTGACCACCACAAAAAACACTCCACATTTCATGATCGTAAGTCTTTCAGTTCTTGACAAGGTTTTATAAAGAAAAAACTTAATACATGGATGACCGATGCCACACCACACCCGAAGCTCTACAGCACTTTGTGCTAGGTGATTTGATAATGGTGAAAGTGTCTACATGATATTGCAGGATTTACAACTGATGTACTAAGGTACCAGGTACTTATATGAAGCAAACATCCTAAAGCCCAGGATTTCTGCTCAGAAAAGCATATAATACAGGTTCCATTAACAGATATGTATATAGTAGGTCTATTTTCAAAAGATACAGTTTACAAAGTAATATATACTGTAGGACCAAGTGAAATGTCTGGTTTATACAGGTAACTAGATTATACAGGTTAAGTTCACATATAGCAAGACCAAGAGGACAGTGTGACCACATTAAAAATCTGGTTTATACAGGTAACCAGATTATACAGGTTTAGTTTACACAGTAACAGAAAGTTAAAGGTTTATACAGATAAACTAATTTCACAGGTTCATTTTAAATACAAATGTACGGTGTATATATAACAATAGGTCAATATAACTTGTTATTGCAAGGTCAGTGGTTATTCTCCGTGAACTTCAGAGCGGTTTATAGGACATAGAACACAAACAAACCAAATGATTCCAAGCAGTAAAAAGAATTTGATGTATGGCACACTGAGTAAGTTTAATATCAGTTGTAGAACTTTATCAAGTCGTATGCCTTGGACAGTGGTCTGAGCTAGAGATCTAGTCAGTAATGGAGACAAGATTACTGGCCAACCAGCTTGTGTCCTCATTAATCTAGAGCTAATGTTGGCTTAAAGGTCTTCATCTTAAATTTTAGGTTCTAGAGCTTCAGTCAGATCTGCAAACCAATCAGGTTTAGAGCCTTAGTCAGGTCTGGAGCTATCGTCGGAACTACAACCTTCAGGAGCTATTACACCTAGAGCGTCAGTCAGGTCTGGAGCTATCGTCAGAACGACAACCTTCAGGAGCTATTATGCCTATAGCTTCAGTCAGGTCTGGAGCTATCGGCAGAAATACAACCTTCAGGAGCTATTACACCTAGAGCGTCAGTCGGGTCTGGAGCTATCGTCAGAACTACAACCTTCAGGAGCTATTAGACCTAGAGCGTCAGTCAGGTCTGGAGCTATCGTCAGAACGACAACCTTCAGGAGCTATTATGCCTATAGCTTCAGTCAGGTCTGGAGCTATCGGCAGAAATACAACCTTCAGGAGCTATTACACCTAGAGCTTCAGTCAGGTCTGGAGCTATCGTCAGAACTACAACCTTCAGGAGCTATTCCGCCTAGAGCTTCAGTCAGGTCTGGAGCTATCGTCAGAAATACAACCTCTAGGAGCTATTACACCTAGAGCGTCAGTCAGGTCTGGAGCTAACGTCAGAAATACAACCTTCAGGAGCTATTACACCTAGAGCTTCAGTCAGGTCTGGAGCTATCGTCAGAAATACAACCTCTAGGAGCTATTACACCTAGAGCGTCAGTCAGGTCTGGAGCTATCATCAGAACTACAACCTTCAGGAGCTATTACACCTAGAGCTTCAGTCAGGTCTGGAGCTATCGTCAGAACTACAACCTTCAGGAGCTATTCCGCCTAGAGCTTCAGTCAGGTCTGGAGCTATCGTCAGAACTACAACCTTCAGGAGCTATTAGACCTAGAGCGTCAGTCAGGTCTGGAGCTATCGGCAGAACTACAACCTTCAGGAAATATTACACCTAGAGCTTCAGTCAGGTCTGGAGCTATCGTCAGAACTACAACCTTTAGGAGCTATTACACCTAGAGCGTCAGTAAGGTCTGGAGCTATCGTCAGAAATACAACCTCTAGGAGCTATTACACCTAGAGCGTCAGTCAGGTTTGGAGCTATCGTCAGAACTACAACCTTCAGGAGCTATTACACCTAGAGCGTCAGTCAGGTCTGGAGCTATCGGCAGAACTACAACCTTCAGGAAATATTACACCTAGATCTTCAGTCAGGTCTGGAGCTATCGTCAGAAATACAACCTTTAGGAGCTATTACACCTAGAGCGTCAGTCAGGTCTGGAGCTATCGTCAGAAATACAACCTTCAGGAGCTATTATGCCTATAGCTTCAGTCAGGTCTGGAGCTATCGGCAGAAATACAACCGTCAGGAGCTATTATGCCTATAGCTTCAGTCAGGTCAGCATACCTATCAGGTCTGGGTTTTTAGTCGGATGTCCTGTCCATATCTACAACCTAGTCTGAACAATTTGTGTCTAGTCTTTTTTCAAAAAAAATTGCATAGAAATTGTTTTTAACAATGGGTTTTATTTATTGTTTTGTATACAATAACAAATAAATCAGCAGTCACTATTGTTCTTAACCCTTTCACCCCTATGTAACTTTAGTAGACTATACCATGCATTGATATGGAGGGGTCCATATGGTCTACAGTGGTGAAAGGGTTTATTTAAAAAAACAAAATAGAACACAAAGTATATAATGCCCGCGATACATAAAACACAAAGTATATAATGCCCGCGATACATAAAACACACTAACAATTAATTCAAAACTGGTCAGAAACGCATGGCTATGGATAAAATTGAAAGGGACAGCAATTGCATTAAGGCTAAAACAAAAAGATATTTGTTTCAGGTTTTTCACTAGAAGTTAAAGTCTAGGTTACCTAATGTTTTACTGGTACTACCGACATCTTCTGATAACTCTAGATCACAACCAAAGTTACACTATGAAAACAATGAAATAATGAATTTGGCACATTTCCAAAATTTAAATATATGTCTCCAAAACTTTTGAATCAGAAGACAAACGGTTGGTTGAAAAAACTGAAAACATCTTTTTTCATAGCTCACTGAATATAGTTGATTTGATCGTAGGGAAGTTAAGCAATCATGACAAAATTCATTTACTTTAGTTTTAAACTCAAAAACGATTTCATTATAGAAGGTTTTTTTATTTTGTTAAGCATAGATTATCTCTTTCAAACATTTCTAAGGAGGGAATATGGAGTAAAATGTTTGAAAGGACTGTATGGTTTGGACCTCTTTTGGCCCCGAAATCCATCAAAATTAAAATTTTTGAATAGAACTTTCAAATGACTTTTTCTTTAATTTTGAATACTTCCCCGGTACTATTATGTAAACCTATATTTGTGTTTTCAAATATGGCTGCAATGGTAACCAGTTATTATTTGCATAAATGAATGATATTTGAATATTCAGTCAATTTTGAAAGGTTTTCGCCTAGTTTTTCTCTTAGTTACCATAGAGCGCACTCTTGAACAAACTTTATATTTCTCCTAAAGATGTATCACAGGTGCCTACACATTATCCTTTGATAATTAGTTTGTTCAAGCATGCACTCCAGAGTTTCCAGGAAAAAACTATGCAAAATATGACAAAATTAACTGAATATTCAAAATTTTCTAATTCATGCAAATTTGATCTTGTTACCACGGCAACAAGCATTAGAAATACAAATAAATATGTTCATGATAGTGTTTGGAAAGTATTCAAAATGAAAGAAACAGTCATTTCAATGTCCATTTAAAGATTTTGAATTTTGATCCATTTTGGGGGCCAAAACACACCCAAACCATACATAGTCCTTTCATAATGTATTTTATCATGAATTTTCAAAGTAAAAAATGTCATTACAAAACAATAATGTGAAATGATAATCTGTGATTGATACACTGGAGGTGGATAGAGTTAACTCCCTTTAAAATATTAGCAGTAGAGTTAATCCCGGTGGTCAGCCGCTGCATAAAATTGCTTTTGTCAACAGCAGAGTTAACCTCCTTTGTCGGCATACCTCAAGAAACCAACCTGAAAAATTAAAGAACTCACATCAAGTATGAATATGTCAAACAGATATTTTTTGTTAGAATATGTAGAACCTAAAATTTAAGATCCATAAAGCACATTGTATTTACTGAATATTTGCTGAATTATGTGTCAAATTTCAGCTTATGGCCTTTAAAAACAAATTTGCCTCTTGTTTATTTAATCCACATGTCTGGGGGCAGTTTGTCAGAAGAATGGTTTATTAAGTGTGAGGATAAAGGACGCTGAGGCACAGAGGGGCAGATTACATGTCAGAGGGCACCACCCATCAGGGCAGAATTTATATGTCAAAGGGCACCACTCATCGGGGCAGAGATTACATGTCAGATAGAGGGCACTACTCATTGGGCAGAGATGACATGTCAGATAGAGGGTGCCACTCATTGGGGCAAAAATTACATGTCAGATAGAGGGCACCACTCTCCAGGGCAGAGATTATATGTCAGATAGAGGGCACCACTCATTGGGCAGAGATGACATGTCATATAGAGGGCACTACTCATTGGGCAGAGATTACATGTCAGATAGAGGTCATCACTCTCCAGGACAGAGATTATATGTCAGATAGAGGGCACCACTCATTGGGCAGAGATGACATGTCAGATAGAGGGTGCCACTCATTGGGGCAGAGATTACATGTCATATAGAGGGTGCCACTCATTGAGGCAGAGATGACATATCAGATAGAGGGCACCACTCATTAGGGCAGAGATTACATGTCAAATAGAGGGCACCACTCATTTAGGCAGAGATTACATGTCAGATAGAGGGCACTACTCTCCAGGGCAGAGATTATATGTCAGAGGGCACCACTCATCAGGGCAGAGATTACATGTTAGATAGAGGGTACCACTCATCAGGGCAGAGATTACATGTCAGATAGAGGGCACCACTCATTTAGGCAGAGATTACATGTCAGATAGATGGCACTACTCTCCAGGGCAGAGATTATATGTCAGAGGTCACCACTCATCAGGGCAGAGATTACAAGTCAGATAGAGGGCACCACTCATTTAGGCAGAGATTACATGTCAGATAGATGGCACTACTCTCCAGGGCAGAGATTATATGTCAGAGGGCACCACTCATCAGGGCAGAGATTACATGTCAGATAGAGGGCACCACTCATTTAGGCAGAGTTAACATGTCAGAAAGAGGGCACCACTCACAAAGAACTTGTTGAGGAACCTCTGAGATCGAGGTATACATTTGGAACTCTTCACCAGTAGGGACACCAGCTGCACACACATCGGGTACGGAAGCTGGATGCTGTGGACAGCTTGGTCAGTTTTCCAGGATGAAAATGTATGGTTAGGGCTTGGTGGGCAACTGTCAAAAAGAAAATGCATGGGTCCCCTCCTCTTTACTAGGTCGTACTGCTTGACTTAAACATGTATTAATCTGTCTAATCTCACTGTAAGCATTGGGTACACAAATCTTGACTTTTCACAGTATATACAAAACAACTGTTTATCATTTTACTGCAGATCAACATTATCTATCTACGTCCGTCCAATGCAAAACTGACATAATAATAATCTTGTATGGTCATTTGTTCTTAAGATACTATGGAGATAATTAGCAACAGTGACCTTGACCTTTAGGCTAGGAGGCGAAAATAAAACCACTTTGTGCTATCTTGGAAACAAAACCCCTGTATGAAGTTTTATCGATAATAGGATTAAAAATAAAGTTAGATATACAATTGTGGGTCTGTAAAATTCCCATCTTACCCGTAAATATAATAGATTACTACAGTATTGTCTATTGGAATCTTACCCTTAAATATAATAGATTACTCCAGTATTGTAAATTGGAATCTTACCCTTAAATATAATAGACTACTACAGTATTGTATATTGGAATCTTACCCGTAAATATGATAGATTACTACAGTATTGTGCATTGGAATCTTACCCGTAAATATAATAGATTACTACGGTATTGTATATTGGAATCTTACCCTTAAATATGATAGATTACTACATTATTGTACATTGGAATCTTACCCGTAAATATAATAGATTACTACAGTATTGTAAATTGGAATCTTACACTTAAATATAATAGATTACTACAGTATTTTGCATTAGAATCTTACCCGTAAATATGATAGATTACTACAGTATTGTGCATTGGAATCTTACCCGTAAATATAATAGATTACTACGGTATTGTATATTGGAATCTTACCCTTAAATATAATAGATTACAACAGTATTGTATATTGGATTCTTACCCTTAAATATGATAGATTACTACAGTATTGTATATTGGAATCTTACACTTAAATATAATAGATTACTACAGTATTTTGCATTGGAATCTTACCCGTAAATATGATAGATTACTACAGTATTGTACATTGGAATCTTACACTTAAATATAATAGATTATTACAGTATTGTATATTGGAATCTTACCCTTAAATATAATATATTACTACGGTATTGTAAATTGGAAGCTTACACTTAAATATAATAGATTACTACAGTATTGTCTATTGGAATCTTACCCTTAAATATAATATATTACTACGGTATTGTAAATTGGAAGCTTACACTTAAATATAATAGATTACTACAGTATTGTCTATTGGAATCTTACCCTTAAATATAATATATTACTACGGTATTGTAAATTGGAAGCTTACACTTAAATATAATAGATTACTACAGTATTGTATATTGGAATCTTACCCTTAAATATAATAGATTACAACAGTATTGTATATTGGATTCTTACCCTTAAATATGATAGATTACTACATTATTGTACATTGGAATCTTACCCGTAAATATAATAGATTACTACGGTATTGTATATTGGAATCTTACCGTTAAATATAATAGACTACTACAGTATTGTATATTGGAAACTTACACTTAAATATAATAGATTACTACAGTATTTTGCATTGGAATCTTACCCGTAAATATGATAGATTACTACAGTATTGTATATTGGAATCTTACACTTAAATATAATAGATTACTACAGTATTTTGCATTGGAAGCTTACCCGTAAATATGATAGATTACTACAGTATTGTACATTGGAATCTTACACTTAGATATGATAGATTACTACAGTATTGTATATTGGAATCTTACACTTAAATATAATAGATTATTACAGTATTGTATATTGGAATCTTACCCTTAAATATGATAGATTACTACAGTATTGTATATTGGAATCTTACACTTAAATATAATAGATTACTACAGTATTGTACATTGGAATCTTACCCGTAAATATAATAGATTACTACGGTATTGTATATTGGAATCTTACCCTTAAATATAATAGACTACTACAGTATTGTATATTGGAATCTTACACTTAAATATAATAGATTACTACAGTATTGTATATTGGAATCTTACCCTTAAATATAATAGATTACTACAGTATTTTGCATTGGAATCTTACCCGTAAATATGATAGATTACTACAGTATTGTACATTGGAATCTTACCCTCCAGGTTGTATCTGACATTTGTACAACATCTTAAGCACTTTTGTTGGTCGAAGCTGGATATGAGACTCGTCTAGTGAACAACTGTCTATATACACCATCAGACAGGGGTCAATTAGCCATACCTGTAAACAAACACTGTCTATATATACCATCAGGCAGGGGTCAATCAGCCATACCTGTAAACAAACACCTGACTATATACACCATCAGGCAGGGGTCAATTAACCATACCTGTAAACAAACACCTGTCTATATACACCATCAGGCAGGGGTCAATTAGCCATACCTGTAAACAAACACTGTCTATATATACCATCAGGCAGGGGTCAATCAGCCATACCTGTAAACAAACACCTGACTATATACACCATCAGGCAGGGGTCAATTAACCATACCTGTAAACAAA